ACCAATGTAAAACTTCAGCCAAGTGTTCAAGATTCCATTGGGATAGCAATATGATCTTAATTTTGCCTGTTTAAATTATATTTGTTTGTCAAATATTATTTGTATATTATTATTATTTTTATTTCCAAAAATTCGTTTACTTCAATTACTTTTGGGCTTGGTGATGATTGTTCATTAATATAATTCATCAATTCATCATCAAAATATTGTGTGCTCAAAATATGTATTATGACTATTCATTTTTCTGATAGTTAACTTATAATTATAGGTGTTTTTATTTTGTACAGACATTTTAATATTTAATTTCTTACAATGATAAAATTGTCAAGAACCTTTTGTAATTTATTAATAAGATTTTAAAATTTACTCTTGACTAGATGCTTTTTATTAAAATTAAAAGTACCTATCAATCAATTTTTTTTACTTTTAAGAGCTGAAATGCAAATTTTGCCTCATATCTTTTAACTAATGTAAGAAATATGCTTTTTCATAATATGATTACTCAATATAAATAAATTTTAAGCTGTTGGTTTCTGCTCAAACTTAAAACACAACTATTTTCTACGTCTCGGCTGTCTTTGAGGGTAATATTTCAAATTATAAAATTTTGATTTAAGTGTGTCATTAAATAAATATAAATATTTTAAATTATGATCTTTTATTTTACACTCTATAAAATGTTTATGTTACACTGTCAATTTTTAAAACAAAGTAATACATCTATCATTTTTACTAAGTTAAGAAGAAATTTCCAGATTGCATTATATGAAGAAATAAGATTTTTAATCATTGTTAGAAGATTAACAATAAAATTCATTATTACCACGGTCAATAGCTATGTCATTTAATTCTAGATATTTCAACTCTTCTTTAAGACATTTAAAACATTTTTCATCGCAAAAATCTTTTAAATCTCTAGTCTTGATTATTGCAGCATAAAAAATATTTTCTTGCCTGGATTCTTTCACTGATAAATATGAGAATACAACAATACAACATACAAGTTACAGATATGTTTTAAAGAATTGGACCCAAGAGGATTGTTTATTTCAAAAACATCTGTAAAGTTTTTAAGGTATAGTTTTCCCGAATATAACTTAATATTTTCTCTCCATAATTCACCTTGTACAAAATTAGTAATCTCAAAATTATTTTGTAGATTTACACATAAAGCACATTTAAAATACAAAATCTGCGTAAAAAAAATAAAAAAATTATATATTGAAATTATCATACAATTTAGTATTACAGAATGAATGTGAAATAATTTATCAAAATTATATTTTATTGATAATAAAAATAAAATTATTATCTTAAATTAATTTTTTACTTAAGGCTTAAATCGTTTTATAATTAAAATTTCAAATTAATATTTGTCAAATACTTAACTCGATATTTTTATAACAATCTGGACATATAAAACAAACAATTAAGTAAACATGTGTATATAACGATCATCAGGTAAAATGTAAATGACAAGTAACTTAAAATAATTACCACTATTTTTTTCGTAATAACCAATATTGATCATTGTTGACATAAACTCAATTGTTTTTTTTTTTTAATGACATTTTCTTATAACGTACAACAGTTATTAATTTTATCACCCAGATTTTCATTTTTATAAATAAGTACTAATTATCAATGAATAAGAAACTCGTAATATCCATAAATAAAATTGAACAATGTAATGAACTAGCTTATTCAACGTATTAATCTAATTATCATATTAGTGACAATTAATGTTTAACACAACAGCCAGTCAATAATTGTCTTCACACAATATACAATATTTTAAAATACTTTTTCCATAAAACAAAAACTATTTTTGTTAATATAATAAATGCTCGTATACACGTTGGTGTAACAATTTGACTTAATAAGATAAAAATACTATTCGCTAATAGTTTTAACAAAAACCAATCTTTAAAAGAAAACAATTTGCAAATGAAAGATAAAGACCAATTATTAAGTTTATAGTATTAACAAAATACATTATTAAAAATTGATGAATAACAAATTATTTAAAAAAATATTTGTGTCAAAAATTATGGTTAAGAACGACTTAATTGTAAATGACTTTTTTTTCAATGCCGATTTTTATGTGAACCCCTTAAAACGGTGTAAGGAAACACAAAATCCTAAATTTTACCGACTATCTAATGAATTATTATCAACGTGCACACAGGAGAACACAATGGGCAGCTGTCACTCCTGCGACCTTAATTTTTTTTTTTAATTTTGATGTATAAGTTTATTAGGTAATCTTACAGCTTGAAATTATCTATATAAAAATAAAATAATAATTGACAGGAATAGTGAAACCTTAAATTCTGCCCACCCTTACTAGCAAGGTCTGTGCACACGCCAATGTAAATTAGGGTTTACTTATATTGTACGATGTTTGATACAAAACAAACGTAAATGTAAAATATAAATAAAATAAAAAAACTTTACGTCAAAATTGATCAAAATTATTATCATACAATTACTAAATAATAAATATATTAAATATAATTTATTTAAACACCAAAACAATAGATATATATATATATATTATTTATGAATTTATGACATAATGTTTTTTAATTTTAATTTTAGCGGCAGTGATTCATAAATAAATAAATCGAACAAAAATAACTTTATGTGAACAAAACTTTGTTATATTGTAACTAACACGTCACACATCAATGAAAAAGGGAAATATAAAAATCACACAAATATCACATATGTTTTAAAAAGAAAAGATTGATGCAAGAACTATAGTGTAAGTATAGAAAATTCAACAGAATAAATTTAAGTGTTTTTATTTTTTAATGTACATATTATATTGAATAATTATTTTTTATTGACAAATACAAATTATTATTTTCATACAGTTATATAGTAGAGTTTCGATCACTCGAATTTCAAGGAAAATAAAAATTAATTCGGCTTAAATATTTTTGAGTTATGGATATAGTTATAGTGTAACAAAAAGAACTGACAAATGTATTTTAACTAATATCCAAGCACATTTTTTTTCTTATCAATATTTTAATTTAAAAATTGATAATAAATATATATCATAGTTATATGTATAGTATATGTGCCTGTAATTCTTTTTTTATACTCTTTATAACTGAGTTTTGCAAAATTATTGACAGAAGTTTCTAATGAAAAAGTAAAAAATTGATCACTACGTATATATAGTTTGATGACAAATGACAGTTAAGAGTCGAAAAACAAAGTAAGAAAAATATGAGCTTTTATAAATTAAATAAAAACTATAAACTCATTAAAATTTGTACTGCTAGTCTTAAAACGCTGTTATAAAATATTCACATTCATTTCCGGTTATCATATTAACTCCCCATCAAATTGAAAGTCTAAATTGAAAACTCCAGCAATCATCGTTGGTTACTGTTAGATCTAATGAAATCGAATAAGCACACAAAATAAAATCAAAACTATATTATGCGGCTGATGGCTCAACGAACTCTTTAATAGCCAGTAGTGGTCCGTTAAAACAAGCTATTATCCCTTTTCGCGTGGTGATATCTGTTAATTTCAAAGTCGTGCAAGCATTAATATATATATATAAAATAGGTAGAGGCGCTTAATTACTTTAATTGTAATTACGAGGGTTACCAAATTTCCATTAAACACTTCAATTTCAAATAACGCTCACCCAAAACTGTGTATATTATGTACATCTAATATAATATATTTATACCAATTATATCTGTGTGCTATAATATATACATAGTAGAATAATAAATTTACCTGTGATTCCAACTTATCCAGTATCTGTTTATTACAGGTATACGAACAATGTACGTTCAAATGATTTTTCAAGCACAAACAAAAAAAAAATATTTTTAAATAGACATATTTAATTTCTACAACGGTTTATATTTGTAAATATCATGGTAATCAACAGGTAGTTTTCATATGCGCGCAACTACATTATTATAATAAAGTATATCAAACACCAGAGTGCCTCTAAAATGTTAAGAGAAATGTTTATTCAAATTCTCTAATAAATGTAAAAACACATGTCACATGAATATGTATTCAGAATAATAACTGTAGGAGATAGATGATAGAATAATTTTTGAAGTGTTATCATATAATGTTCTATGGTAATATATTTCTAATGACGCGTAAAGTAAAAAAATAAAAAAAACCTATAAGAATCACTCCGTCTCAGTAAACCAACTAAACCACACAGCTCTTTCGAACCATATCTGATATACTTACAATGTATAGACAACTGCAGGATAATTTAATAAGCTTTACATAATATGCATTATAACAAGCAGAATGCGAACCGATTGATATTTTAACACTTGCAGGTCGATTAACGTTACATAAACTTAGTCGTGGGAAAGTGAGTTTAAAAGTTAATGTTAGCCTAATATAATATAATAAAAATGTCAAATACCGAAATAGTAAGCAAAGGTATCATCACCGACGGATGAGAACACTACACCCAACCTAACCACCGCGCTAGTCAAAGTGTACCTCCACACTGCATAAATAGTATTTTGACACTAACTAACAAAATATATTATAATCGTCACCGCGGCACAAACAGTAACTATAAGATATCGCCAAATAGATATAAACAACACGATTACGTAACCCCCTCCCTGCAATCACAGTATTTCTGAAAAACGTCATCTTTTGATATCCACTATTTTTCGTACTTCAGAACCAGCAAATGGGGACTGGGAACAGAATGAATAGTTTTCCATGGTAAAACTTGTAGAAGAGTAATAAAATGTTATTACTTGTTAGGTTTTCAATTATTAGAAAGAAACAATATTAGAAATAGTTATTTAATCAAAAACATATAAATGTTTTTTATTTATAAATTCTAACAAAATAAATTTTTGGTTGCACAGATTATATTACATAATAAACTGTTTTAAAACAAATTAAATTACTATATTTTCTACTAACAATAATATTAATTCAACTATAACATAAAACATTTTAAACAGAGAAATCTGCAACTGTGTTTCTATAAGTTTACAAGTTATAATATATTTCACGAATAAAAATCAATATACTGAAAACAATAATATATTTTATATACATATATAGAATTTCAAATATTTGCTAATTAATAAAACGTTTTATTTCAACGGTGAAACCGATATTTTCTCTGAATAATACATCCATGCCTTTTTTTTCTCGATTTGTCTGGCAACGTATTTAATATCTTTATCATCTGACTGATTACAAGATAATATTCCTAAAGTCCAAATTACAGCCAATAACAACCTATCAAAGCTGTAACAAAATATTAAGCTTAAAACAAATGTTATGTGATCCAATAATATTACATGATATATCTCGTAGCTACACAATTTAACGTACCTCATTAATTTTTGAGACCATAAAATAATTAAAAGACATGAGGATCCTGGAAATCCCATATTTGATAAAAATCGATGAAATTGCTGAGATTTCAATGAGCAAACATTTTCATTCATTAAATGATAATAAAAAATCTGTGGAAAATGTAACAATTATAAGACTATTAACTCAAAATTCCATGGCAAATATTTTACTGTAAATTTTATTTAAATTTACTTATGAAGATAATCAATACAAACATTATATTCAATTTAAAATAAACTAATATTTTTTTTGACCGCAAAATTTGTTTAAATATACCTATGGATAATCAACAGTAAAATACCACTAAAGAAAAAAAGTTATAATTACGAGTGTATATTATATATATGATCTAAAGCATTTTAAATTATATTTTTCAAACTCGGTACTTATATTCTTTCTATTAAGTAAATATTAATTTTTTTTAATAATTTTAGCCTAATTAAAAAAGTTTCAACACTTTTTTTTAACTTTTTTTAAGTTAAAATACTTTAATAATAGAAAAATTGTAACTATATTATAATAAACATAATACAAATTCTTTAAATTATCTATTTGATTTATTTTTAAATTAACTAGTTACCATTAAAGTGTAAGACTCGTATTATATTTTTAAAATATAAGGTATTATTAGGTACTATTATTATGAGAACTGTATTATTCTCAATTCAGAAAATCATGAAATTTTAGGATATGAATAGTAATTAATAACCATATATGTAAACTTATGAAATATTTCATACCAATATTTTAAAATATTTTATGAACGTAATAAGATTATAGGTAGGTACTTGTGTAGTGTGCATACCTTAAATGTTTAAAATAATTTAAAGAAAATTAGTTAAATGAGATATAATTATTTATAACTACATTTTATACATAGACGTCCAGTGGGAGGAGTAAGACAAGGCACTTACCCCCCCCCCCCTTTGAATTTTAAATTTCGGAACTCAGTTTAAAAATTTAATGTAATAACGACGGAAACATAATAATATACTATAAATAAAATGCACAAAAAAAATCATCATTTATTTTTTAAAATTAATTTCCCCCCCCCTCTAGAAAATGTCTGGGGACGCTCATGCTATTATACTATATAATACCGACAGACCAGTAGAACACATCGACAAAGAACCCTAAGCGAATCAGTAAGTATAACAATATTCTGATCATTATTTTTCATTTACAGCAATGCTATCTTTTACAGTGAGTATCTTACACGAGATATAAAAATAATTATAAAACCAACATTTAATTTATGAATATTTGGTTTATATAACTTTTAAAAAAAAAATCATTGAAGTTAAATAACATAAATTGTCACAAAAAATGTAATTTAAATGAGTAAAGATGTAAAATATGTTATAGTTAGACATTCGTAATTTAAAATATACTATCCAAATTTAAAAACATAAATTAAATAGTAAATAAATCACAAATTTAGATGAATATACTTTTCTAATCTGAATATTTCTTGTTTTTTTTTTTTTTTTTTTTTTTTATTAACGAAATCAAATTAAAAATGTGTATTTCTTGCATATTGTTAATAATTATTTTTACTGTCTTAAGTTACGTTCATAAGAACAACAAAAAGTTTATATTACCTACAATTATATTAATTAATGCTATCTCTAAAACTTCTATAATTATAATTTATTCGAAGACCTATACATAAAACATTAGAATACGTGAACGTTTTAAAAATGCAGTTATAATTACACTATACAAGAGCTTAATAGTTATGTAAAATGTGCTTAAATAGTATCATATTAATTTAAATTAAAACTTTGTACAAATAATAAAAACACTCAAATTAAATTAAAAAGTTAAATTATAATTATATTTATCAAAAATCAGATTTTTCTGTAATTGTTTAAAAAATTGCACAATACTTATCATAAAAAAAATAATATTCTAAAAAAAAAACGAAATTAATTTAATTTAAATCGGTAGATTTTTTACTAGAACTTCAAAATAAATAAAATTATATTCCCACAATACTTAATATTTATACAACAAAAAATGTACCTATAAAATTATTTTATTTCAGATAATGTAATTCAAAATATAGGTCTTCACAAATTTTAATACCCTTAAAAATTTATATTATAAAAATAACCCGAAAATAATAATAAAAGTTATATAAATATAAGTACCTACTTCAAACGTCAAAACCATGTAAAACATATTTTTTTAAATAAAAATAATTACTATGAAAATTTTTTTTTATAACTCACAAAATTTTATATAATCTTTTTTTAAGCAATTAAAATACTAGCGTAGTTTTTTTACCTATAAAATGTATTAATAGAAATATTTTAAAATTGAAAGGTTGTTTTAAACTTTATGAAGATAGTGACAAGTGAGTATAAGAATGTACAAATATGTACTAGTACAACCTGAGAAGATATGACAACAAGAACAAAAAAGTAATAAATTAAATAACGTAATTTTTGAAGAAAATTAAAATCATTAAAAAAACATAAATGTCAAATAGTTTTCAAATGATTAAATTAAATCAATTTACAAGTATACTTTAATTTAACTGTAAATCAAATAATTAACTTTACCGGTTTGAGTCCTGTTATCTCAGTAACATCAATTGCTAACATAATCATAAATGATATAATCCACATAGAACAATGCAAATAAAAGTGTATATTTTCAGCATAATTTTTGTTCAGATTCCATAAACATATCTCAGGAACTTCCTGCCAAAATTCAATAACACCCTTAAAAATAAATGATTATAATTAACTCAATATTACTGGGTAACAATAAAAAAAAATGTTTATAGTTTATTATTCATTAGATATTACGTTTAAAATAGATGAAAGCAATACAATTCTAGTAAATTTGAAATAACAATCGGGTAATCCACATAAGTTGCCAATTCTTTCAATGCCAATCTCAATTATCGAGGGTAAATATAAATAACAAGATGCAAGTGTCCAGTTCGTAACTATCCTAAAATGAATACCTAAAAAAAAATTTTTTTTTAACATATATAAATAATATGTTATATTATTATAAACATACACCATTAACAAATAAACGAAATTAAAAACAAAAAATACACATAACAGTAATTAAGAGGACGTGATACCCGCATGTGTTGTCTCTGTCTTACAAGTGCATAACATGGAAAATCTTACGCTCAGCAGATCACGTTTTGTTCCGTTAGTTTAAAAATTAGAGAAAATTGACCTCTTATAAAATTTAAAAATAAAAATATTATTTAGACGACCTCGTGGACTTTTGACTATATTTTAATTTTGAAGCGAGTTATAAGTATTTTAAGATATATAAAAATTTACAATTTTAAAATATTTATAACTCGCATCAAAATTAAAATATATATTATTCGAAAGTCCATGAGGTCGTCTAAATAATATTTTTATTTTTAAATTTTATAAGAGGTCAATTCACTCTAATTTTTAAACTAACAGAGCAAAGTGTGATCTGCTGAACGTAAAATTTGCTGTTACGCATTTGTAAGACGAAGATAACTGCAGGTATCACGTCCTCTTAATATTGAAACTGAATGCGTGATTAGAATAATTGTGAAATATTTAATTTTAAAAAGAACTGGAATAGTTCCTCTACTATAAAAAAAAGTGTATTATGTGTACTTAGTCATATAATAAACCACTTTAATAGATGTATTAAATTTAATTTCAATGATAAATCATTATATAAAACAATTCTGAGCAAAGACGTTTTTTTAAAAGAGATAATGTATACACTATGTTAGCTGTTAAATCTACGAAAAATAATTCATGATTTTGACGAATTTTATCGACGTTTGAATATCAAACTCTAGTAAAAAATTAATGTGGCTTTAAACCACTAAACTGCTTAAATTTTTAAGAAAATCTTGTGAGGAACCTTGTAAGGAAACTTTATATTTCAAGCTTTTTACGCGCAAATAAAAATTGTACCATACATAAACATAAGTAAAATAATAATTTAAACAGCCTAACATTTCAAATATTTATAAATAGCTCAAAAAGACTCAAAATATTTTCAAATTGTATCAAGTCCAATAAATGTTAATTTAAATATTTAATTAAAATGTCGAGTCCACGCGATAATTGGTTTTTGTATAAATTTTTCCAAAAAATTGTATTTTTTGAATAGTCCTGTTTATCTACCATATAACCTTATAAAGTACAGTGACATTTCTACTTTTACAAAAATCCTCACTCAAAGTTGAAGATTATTAGTCTTTTTCTACTTTAAAAAATATTTTCAAACACTTATACAAAAAACACACATCATTATAATACAAATACAACATTCATTGTTATTTGTTCCACTCGGAATCTAAAAAATTAAACAGATAAATGTAAAAATATTAAAACACTATTTAAACTATTATAGATATCATAAAAGTTTTATTATTTATTACAAGTTACACGTATTAAATAAACATTAAGTAGATCACATATGCGCATAAAATTAGTTTAGAAGTGTATACATGCAATATTTCAACACGACACAAAGCTTTATACTTTAATTTTAAACTATATTCCATAAACTAAAATAAGTAACTATTTGATGATTTACAATCGTATATACAAGCCTATTTATGTTTAAAGAGTTAAGATAAAAGAACTAATATTTTAACTATTTATAATTATTATAGCTATAACAACTTGACAATACATAAATTATTATCTCGTTTTATTAAAAAAATAATAATAATAATTTTTTTCTAAACAATTTTTGGTTTATTATCAATATTAAATATTATTTATTATACAATTCCAAACAAAAAAATCAAATAAATTCAATTCCTATTCTTCAAGACTATGTATCTACAATTCAAAAAGTCGTGCATGTATATATGCGTAACCTAATATTACACTTACACATACGGTAAAATAAAGTTTTACAGAAAAAACGAAAGCACCTATCAACAAAAATTTATTGCTGTGTTTTGTAGGAACAGTATACTTTTACTATGCTTTTCATTTCATAACTTCCAACTCCGTGAAGTGTTTCTCATGAATCATCGGGTAGATAGGTAACTATGTATATACAAATATAAGATACGTTTTCACAGCGGTACATGATAATATTATGTCTTGTTGGGTTACAAATTATAACTTATAATAATATAATTTTAATTAGTAATTACTTCAGCGAATTTCCGCCCATGTATAAATTATGATTTTATTAAATATGAATTATACTTATCATACAGAAATATGGTCTACTAATTAAAAACTACAGAGTCAATTCCAATAACTTGTAACAGAGATAACAACTTGTGTTTGTTTATTTAATATTATATAAGACATTTTAATGGTTATATACAATTATTCTGTTTCTGTATTATAAAATGTAATATGTATCAATTATATTAATTTCTGCATTACTTTACATAGCTTTAATTTATTTAAAACTATAATTAAAACAGTTCTATATTTTATAAATCAATTAAATATATGTTTACATTAAAAATTTTATTTTTCCTGTTAATAAAGGTTTATAAAAATAAACGTCTAAAGAATTACGGAGGTCGTACACTGATACAGTTCCACTACCTATCTGATTCCACTGCGTCAAGACTGTCAAGAGGCTACAAAAAAATCGTATATATACTACCAATTTATAATACATAAAAGATACCAGGACAAAAAATTATTATAAAATCTCAATAACATTGTTTTTTTTTTAAGTTTATAATCTACCAGGTACCTAACTTTAATTGATATTTACTATTTACTATAAAAACTTATTTATCAATTACAAAACCATTTACACCGAATATTTTATAATTTATAAGTAGCTATTTGACATGGGCACACATTACTTTGATGTTATAATCAATTGAATTGATGCTAAACTAAATTATGTAAATTCTACTGTTTTTTTTTTTTTTTTTTTACTGGAAATAAAATGAATATTATATAGGTAATAAGAACTTACATAATTTATGTACAGATTTATTATTTATACAAATTATACTTAGATACTAATATCTTTTTATGCACAAATTTAAAAAATAAACATAATAATTAATAGTGATCACTAGTTAGTAGTTAATTGAAAAAAATAAAGATTAAATAAATAAAATTATCGACATATTTTGGTTCAAAAACAAAATCTTGATGAACCTCATCCGTTCGAAAATACGTACCGGTGGAATTTACAACTTCCTCAAGAATTTTTTCAACACATTATCGTAATTATATTCTTTTACAGTTATAAATATTCAGTGTACGATATACTATAAATAGGCACATAGTTTAACAATTGATTTATTAATTACATAATATTTATTATTTGTTATAGTATTAGAATATTATAATATTACAAATATCACTATAATATGAGACACGGGTAAGTTGGAAATAAAATATATTAGATTTTATTTTAACTTTTAACTAAAATTATTTATTACATTATTAATAACCGAATTACATATTAACAGAATATGAATTTATGATTACTAAATCGTAATTATAAATTATATTGTAATATGAAATATTAAAAGAATAACTTGTAATTTTTTTAATTTGATCAATCGATGAAATTCATTTCCTAATTATTTTAATTTTCCATTTCCATAGAATTATAATAAAACGATTAGTAATAATAAAAACATTTTTTGGTAATATTACTTTTAAAAATAGACAATAGTTCAATTGAAAAATATATTTATCTACATGCACGCCTACTTAAACCAAGTACCATCGTGGTGGGTAACTTTAAAAGGTAATGAGTATTGTGTAATGACGGTGGGTGCATTATTCAATAGGTTATCTAAAACTCTCCTGCATCAGTGAGTGAGTGTACAAGTGTACTGCTGGTAATAAATAAATATCTAGTAATCTTTTAAGCATTTAAATTAAATCACGTTTAAACATTTATTACTAACAAATATCCACTAAAAACGTATGCATGAGTATTAACTATTTACGTACTTATAGGTAAATGATTGTTTAATACAGTACCTAACTTTAATATTATTGACATTTCTACATTTAATTACTGATAAAATTACTGGAAATCATTATAAATCTTAATATGAACATTTTTTTTTCTGTAAAATATCTAAGATACTATATTATATATCATGCACACATTTTGAATTAAAAATTGCACATTTCATCTTAACTTTGAAAATTTATCAAGATAAAAAATAGATGCTTACATAAAATGTTTAAAGAGAAATATTATTGTACTTCAGATAATGTAATTAAAAGTTTTAAGTTACCTTTTAAATATCAAAAAGTTAATAATGAGTTAATCAGAAATGACTAAGATAAAAAAAAATAAGGGCAATTATTAGCGAAATTCGTTGAAATATAAGGAGCGCCTAATATTTTAAAATTGAATTCAATGGAATTTAAAAATTTGCCGCTCTTATGGCATAAGAAATTCACTTACTACTCATTTTCATAAAGTAAAAAATGTATGCAAGAAAAACTTTAAGAATTAATAATTTACACATACATATTGGCGGACTGATAAGTGATAACTACCAACTAATTCAATTATATAAACGGATAAACCTTAGAATCGAATTGTCAAAACATGAACGTTATAATATTACAATATTGAGTATACGTGAACACTGATGAATCCATACCGATTACGATTTTTATAAAGCGAATGTTTATATAACGTAAAATGTATTATATCTATTATCTATAAACTATTAGATAAGCTAGAATAAAGCATAACCATTGTCGTCATTGACGAGTTCCTGGGAAAACAAAATTAATATTACTTTACTAAAAATAAACGAATACAAAATCTAAATACACTGTTTAATATGTTGAAATGATGTAATAAATTTTACATAAAAACAAAATAAACATTCAATATAATTTTGCCACCCTCCATAGTCCATAGACCGTAGTTCGCAGTGCTTTAAATTCGCACCATGATATAGATCAGCGGTCACTAACCGGTGGTCCACGATAAAAATTTGGTAATTCACAGAAAAATTAGAACATTATTTGTAATGTTGTGTTTTTAATCGTAATATACAAAAGTATTATATAATGTAATTATATGTAAGTTCAGTTTATGACAAATAAAAATAAACGAGTAATAATAATGTCATTATTATCACATATAAAATAAATAGACCTAATTTGCTATCGTAATACGAACTAAGAACACTAATAATTCAAATCCATTCTTCATTTTAACTTTTATTTAATTTTTTATTTTTTGTTATCAAAAACAGTAAAACTAACTTAAATAATTTTGTTGTAAACAAAAAAAAACTCTTTATTGATATTTTATAAGATATGCGTTAATTCAATTTTTTTAAATTTGATGTTCAAGACTTATTTGTTAAAGAATATAAGTGGTCCGTAAAATTTAGAGTTATGGATTAAGTAGTTTGTGAAGTCCAAAAGGTTGGCGACCGCTGGTATAGATCATAAGTAGCCAACTTGCGGCTCGCGAGCCACATTAGCTTTCGTCATTGTCAGATGCGGCTCGCGTCTTTTTAATAAAATTAAAGTATTAGATTAGGTGTTTGATTATAAACAATTATCTATTTATATAAAATGTATCTATAAACATTTTATTTCTTGGTATAATTGTATTTGTCTATATGGCCGACGACCTATTCATGTTAGCCACCCCTGATATAGATTATAAATACCCAGTTTGAATATTATTTTCCAACTATTAAATTTAAAATTATAGTAATTATACATCTATTACCATTAATAATTGACACTTAAGTTTCTATATTAAATCTCATCCTTATTTTTTTGGATTCACGCGACTTACGAGAGACGGTAGGTAATAAATCATTATTGGACGACGGTGAAGTGTTGAAACCGGCTAAGAAATGGCCGAAACGCAAGACAGACACAATCGAAACGTAAACACCAGCTATCACAGCAATCATTGCGATCGACTTGTAACCATTACCGCGTCCTCGAAATGTCGTATCCATTGTCCGCCACACATAAACCATTTGAACCAATTGAACTATTTTACGTGAGATATTTCTACGTATAATACACTGAATCTATAATCAATATTATACCGTGATGTTTAAACAATAGCCAATTAATGTATTGCATTAATGTGTTTTTAAGTATTGTTTATCCATCTCGAAGCTATATAATTAATTATTATTATTTATTATTAGAATAGACAATAGTTATAAGTACCGTCTGCCAGGGCCAGGCGTCGACTGGATTAAAAACGTTTAGGTTATCCTTAGAATATTTCTATAAAATCGGCGTAGGTATTAATAATTATACAAATTCGTAATAATAACGGTTTCGAGTTTTATAATTTAACTTATAAGCGTCAACTTCAACTACTTAACCGTACAAAAATATAGTAGATATTAAAAATTTATAAATTTAAAATGAAATATTATCAGTTATAGTTATAACGTACTACTTTTGGACTATCGAATAACCTACAAGAATTTTATTTAACTTACTAAATTGAGAACTCGAGTGTATTACCACAGATTATAATATAATCTATATTACCGACACTATACGAGGACACGAGGTAGGTACTGTATCGGACATCGGTCGTCATCGTCACTAAATCACCATGATTTAAAATGATATAACGTTGCTAAATAGATATTTTCATAGATAAAATTCAAGTATTCAACATACATATCTTATGGCTTATGCTTTACTGCTTCAGCCGTTATAGCTTATGCCTTATACTTATAGTAATATAGTGTATTATACTATTATTATTATAGTTATTAAACTATATGTCTATATTCTATATACGTACTATGTAGGCACGTCGAGTCATCTCGTCACTGACTTCATGCCAGTAAATATTAAATATTCGTTGTCGAAGTTGATGCAAATCGATACTAACATTGTTGGGTGATATTCAGAACTTACTCCAGCGCCACAGCCGTGAAAATATTATCATATACCAAAGTTATTCCACAGAACAACCAGAAAGGACACTTTTTGAGTTTAACACGGGTTCTTATGGCATACAGATTGGAATATCAGTGCTGCCAGTAAAAATATGTTTCTCATTATTTCGTTTTTTAAGCGAGACTGTTATTCCAAAAATTTTACAGATTATTAAAAACATAATATGTAAGCATTAGCAAATTAGTGTGACTAGATAAAAATAATTTTTTATTTTTGATAAATTAATGGACACACTGATTTTCCAATGAACCGAAAGAGTTTTGAGTGCTCACTCTGAAGTATACTTTCAGGTTATTCCGTGGTTATTCTACTCCACAATATTTGATAGTTTGATACTGTAATATTTTTCTGGCTTGTTTATTATTGCTATTTGTTATTATGATCATGCTCATTATCTTATAATATTATTATAAATAATTATTTTGTATTTATATTGTTGATTGTTTTCGTTTAATACTTTTCATTACCAGTGTACAAACGTCAAACAACGACGAAAATTATACGAAAGATACCGATTACACAATAGGTATCTATTTAACGTATTAAATTAACTATTAATTAACTGGATGTTGACAGTCGTTTCTTTTCGTTGTTTGCAGACGTAGTCAATATGTCCGATTCCGAAATCTCTGAATACGAAATTGATATAGACAATTTATCTGAATCCCAAGACTTCATACACCAAGATATTATCCGCAACTTTTCAATAAATAACAGGACCAATGGCAATGAGTGAGTGTTATTTCTAGTCATAAGTCGAGTATTCAATTTTTCTATCGTACTCGTGAGTTTAATTAGACGTTTGACAAGTAATTCAACAAATTTTGTGAACATAACATTATTATTGATTATCCGAACTGAATGTTTAATATTAGGTTCCTCCTTAGAGGAGTAACTACTCTCCTGAATGTCTATGTAGTATGTAGTGATGAGAGCATTCTAAAGACTTTGATTTTGGAGATGTTCAATAGTAAATATTTCGTTCTTGAGTTATAATTCTGGATAAAGTACATAGCTAAAAATAAATTTTGTATTTTACCTCTGATGAATTGTGATTAACTTTAAATACCTAATTGCTTAAATTGCTTCCTTTCAACTTTTAAAGTTTGCTCAACTCTATAAATTCACCTTCAGCTTTTATCATTTATATCAACATTATTTTTTAATTTAAATTTGATTCTAAAAATTATATATTAATAATAGTTTTACTCTTTATAAAAAAAAGGTAAATTTTAATATTATTAGTTAATTAATGGCTTTAACAGTATTAATATTGATATTGATGCTATGTTTTCATATAACTAAATTCGAGAGTATACTCTCTTATTTAAAATAAATAACCCTGACTTTCCGATCCATTTTGATCTGTCAATAGTGATTCTAAACCCAAAATTAAAATTTTATATGGGTTATTAAAGCTATTTCATGTTTAATAAATAGACTAGGTACTTTAAAATCAATAATTATTTTACAGGACTAACCAAGAATAATTTTACTGTCAAGAAATCCCTTATATTTTTTTTTTTTTTTTTTTTTTTTAATAAGTGAACTAAAATTATCAAAATGTAAACACCACCTACACTTTTATATTAGTATTTATACTTTATTAAAATTTAACTTTCTAACATAATTTTTAGGTTAAAACAAACTACTTTTGATGTATTCAACTTCAGTTTCAATTTATAGTGTTTATATTACAAATATTTTAGTATTAAAACAGTTTTTTTTTAAATAACAAAAATTAATAAGTACCTAATTGTATTGAATTTAATTAAAATTTTTATTCTAGATCTAATGTACAAATAATAAATGATGCTTTTATACATGAAACATATTTTGTTTGTAAGTATAAAATATATTTGATATAATATTTTTTAACATAAATTTATTATTTACTATACATCTAAATTTCTTGAAAATATAAAATAACCCATATTTCTGATTACATTTAGATCCAGAATCAACACCATATGACCGAAGCTTAACTGCAGCACATCAGGTGATTTAACATTCATTGTCTATCATTAAAAACAGTAATAGCTAGGCATTTAAAAAAAAAATAAATGTTTTTATTCAAAGCTTAATGTTATGTAAATTGCACAGTATACTATTACAGGCATAAAATCTATTGATCAGTAGTTAAACACCCTTTCAGATTAGTTAATTTTTTGAAATAAATAGACACTAACAGTTAAATTAAAATTAATCTTAATATATGAAATTATTTATTAGTACTTAAATTATTTTAAATGATAACAATCAAACTGGTATTATACAAACCTAAATTCCAGAACTAATCTATCACTTATAAAAAACAATGATTAGTTGCACATAATAATTAAACATAGTTAGCTAATCTATATTACAGCACCAATATATTCATACAAGCTATATAATTCTAGAAATTATATTGTGAATATTTTTTTTTTTTTTTTACTCTTTTTATATTGCCTGTGTCAATATTATCTAATCATATTATATGTAATAAAATCCTACATTCTGTACTATTGTTTTTTTGAAATTTCATAAGCAATCTAAGCCCTTTACAAACTACTAATTTATTATTTTTACCCTCTATATCAGAGGTTCCCAAACTATGGATCACGATCATATTTTTAGTGGGTCGCGGGTCACATTATATTTTTAAATAATATAGTTTTTTAGATATAATATGGTGATTGAAATCAAAAAAGCAAAAAAAAATAGTCATCAAATAAAAAAACTAGCTACACTCATTATGTTATTGTGGATCACCAAAATTTAAATAATTTCTTAAATGAGTCGTGCCATAAAGAATTTGGCAACCTCTGTTCTATGTAATATTATTTCCTTTAACACATTCATCCTCTGTATGCAACATAAATTTAATATTTAACATTATTTACTTGTACCAAATGACTCCAATTATCTCAATTATCTGTATGATATGCCGTGTAACTAATGTAACTTAATCAATGTAATATAACTTGGACTGTGTTGCAATTGAAGTATACATTTTTTGTTAATGTCTCCAATAAGGTTAATTTTCAACATATTCAAATCGTACATTAATATTTTAACATATGAGTTTTCAAGTTTTATTTTTTTTTTTAAATAAACCCAATATTTCCAACACATGGACAAGTGTAAATCTACAAATATGATACACAGAAAACATGTTAATGTAAAAAACTTATTTAAGATATAAAACTAGTGCATCAATGTGATTGTATAGTTTTATAACTTATTATTGTATATTTTTTTAGTACTTAGGAGATGGACTTCTTGAAGCTACTGGACGCACAGTGTATGAAGAAGGTGTTATTCATACAATTCCACTTATTTTTTTAAGATTAAATTTGTTACCTGGACAAATTCTGCCAATTGTAGCTCGTTCTTCAGATATTAAGCATCTTTTAAAGTATGTCATGTTCCGTAATCGTTCATTTGGAGTTTGTTACAAATTGTAAGCTATAAATAATTAATTATTTGTATAAAATATTATATCATTGTTATGTTTTATTAGTAATAAAAACAAGCGTACATTTGGAACAATTGCTGAAGTTTATGAACATTCTGATAATATAGAAACTACTGAATCATTTCAAATTAAAGCTATGGGCCATCAACGTTTTGAAATTTTACAAATTAATCCATTCCCACAAAGGTAACTGATAATTATTAATTATTTTCAAAAACTTCAACATTATATAATGTTTTTACATACTGCAGTCGAAGTTATTGTAAAATAGCTTTGTATAGAGCAGTGTTTCCCAAAAGGTGTGCTGCAACAACTTGAACTTAGTATACATATATATATATATATATATATAAGTTATAAACCACTTTTATTTAGAAAGTAGATAATATTTATCCAAAGTGTACCGTGTCTTATAATAACTAATAATTATGTTCTGCGATGGAAAAAAGTATAGGAACCATTGGTATAGAGACATTATATTTTAATGAAGATAATTTATATTATATTATATTAAATAATATAATATACTATGATACTGACGTTAATAAAACAAACTAGTAGCATCTAGTTTTCACCAGACATTGATCAAGCATTACTTGTTTGTTGTTCCCACTGAATTAACCACCTGTATTCTGGTTGTATTGTTAAGCCTACTCCTGCACACAAGTTGACAGCTAAGCTATTTTCTTTAACTTCAAAAAAAAATATATTTATAAAAATTATGTACTCTGCTTTGTAATTTCTAAAATTATGTTAACAATAAATAGCAACCATTAAAGTTGACTCAAAATTCTTTTTTTTTTTTAAAGAAAGAAAAATCTACATACATTTTATTTATAATTTGATCTAAAAAAGAATGAAAAAAATAAGGACCAAATACTTGCACATAACATCATTATATAATTAGGACCTGAACATATTTTTTATTATTACTTAAATCTCTTACAGACAGTAAATAAAAATATCTGTATTTTTTAATTTTTATTAAAAATTAAAATTGACTGAGTTATTGGACTTAAAAAGGTACGCGTACGTTTTTAGTGGGCATGGCCTACGCATGACATCAATATCCAGTGTAGCTTTTCCCCTTAGTGGTCGCGCTTATGAGAATCTTTTTACATTTTCTTAATGATAACATATGATAAATATTTTTGAATCCTCTATCATCTATAACATCAGAATTTTCTGGAACCAAGTCTAATAATCCACATTTCTCTACTAGTATTACATCCTACATCTACCTCCATACCCTTCTGATTTAAAATGTATAAATCCATCAGGCGTACAAGATATAAGGTATTTAAGAGTATTACATTTTTTATAATCTGACCAAGTTAATGACTGTTGAACCGAGTCAGAGGATTTAGGAATTTCAATTTCAAGACAATCAATAATGGCTTGAGTGTTTGAATATCTATAGCGAAATGGGATAGGAAATAATTTAATGATTGCATCTTTGTTTGGCCAGTAAATAAATTCTTTAAAATAACCAACAATTAGTTTAATAGTTTTACAAAAAATACGACAACTATAACTTTCTGAAGCACCAAATATATCATCTAATCTACTAAAAGAGTCATTCCATCGAATTTTGGTTAAAGTTAAAAGTATATCTCTTTCAGAAATTTTAGAATTTGAACTTAGTAAAGTAATAAAACCATGTTCAAACCATTCATGGGTTAGACCTATATAATGTTTAGGGTTATTTTGAATATGGTAACACATTACTTCATAACTAAGTTTCTTATATTTATTTGACTCATCTTCAATAAAAAATTTTTCAATATAACTTTGAGAACTTGAACAAGATACATTTGATAGACTGTCACAATTTGAAAGAAAAGAATTTAAAGTTGATTCCAATTCACTATTTTCATCAAACTCTTTATGTTTAATTGAGCCAAACTTAACAGATGAAATAATTTTAGTCAATGCTAATCCTAAATCACATTGGGAAGATTTTGACCGAGTGGAAGGTTTTGGTTTATTTATTGTACATGTATTTTTAATTATATTGATTTGGACTCTGACTTCTTTTGATAGTGGTTCTGATGGAGTCAAATAATTAATGAAATCATTTACTTCATTTGAGTTATCTGATACAAATAAAATAAATTTTATATATAACTTCAAGTATACATAAAATATAAATATATAGTATTTTAGTGAACATAATCTTGTATCTTGTATAGTTTATGATATATATATATACACACAATGTTTAGAAATAAGTTAAATACTGAGTAATGTTTATCATGCACCAGTTATGTTTACTTAATACTTTTTTTTTTTTTAACTAGGCAGAATGTGCTTTAAAATAGTTAGTAAAAATATAGGTTGCTTTATATTCAAATTAATAATAGAAAACTAGAAACTATTAGATACCTAGTTCACAATGAAAAAAACTAATCATGTATATCATTGTATATACATATTAAGTACAACTATATTATTACTTTATGATTATAACACTTACTAATATTATATTCAGGTGTATTATTTACTGCTATTTTAACCAAATCACGCCTTGCTCTTTTTTTATAGACTACTCTAGTTGGTAATGTGTTGGTAATTTGTTTACAGTCAGTCTGGCAGTCAAACTTATGGGGAATAATATTTGGCTTTAATTTAAGGTGTTTCACATTAGATAGGTCCATGATTTTAAATCGAATATAGTTGACTAGATCATCTTCTAGCTATAATAAAAATAATAAAGTAACTAGAAATAATTTGTTAAATAAGTTGTATTTGTATTATGTAAATTGTATTTTGTCCATTGAAATTAAGAAAATTATTTACTAGGTAAATAAGTAATAGGTACTTGCAGAATTTTTCATGAAAAAAATATATTATAAGTTCATTAAGAATAAGGTATATACTTACATTAAAGTGATTTTCACAACAGTAATAATGATTATTAGGTCTTTCAATATCAGCTCTTCCAGCAACTTTACACCATAATATTCTTTTTTTTTTATCTTTAGGTACTGATAGAAATAATTTATCTGGTGTTTTAATAGATGTACTTTCACATTTTGGTACATAACAATATTTACAATACATACTTTTTTCTCGGACATAGTGTATTATAATATTATAATATATGAGAAGTTCAAAAGTATAACGTAGAATAATACAAACCACAAGCTGTAGATCTACAGATGACAGTGTGAAATAAAACCAATAGTAAATTAATGATAATAAATAATAACATTTGATGTACACTGATAACATCAAGTCACAACAAAAATTTTAGTTTTTTATTTTTATTTTTCATTTCAGTATTATTTATTTATGTATATATATGTTTATTTTAAGTATTTAAGTATGTAAGCAAGTAGTTTAAGGTGTATTTTTAATTGGAAACAATAAATGCAATCATATGAATAATCATACTTATAAAATAACTTGTATTGTATAGAATAATATTACTCTGTAAGGCATAAACCCTATTATAAGCACAGAACAATATAAACCCGTTTGATGAGACTATTTCCCGCGCGGCAATATTTACGGATTCAAAAATGCTATGCTCTGCCCTTACCTTGATTCTGTAATAACTGAAGTACAAAATTATTTATACAATTTTTTTCTTCACACATATTTTTAATTACTCATCATGAATAACTACCTTTCAAGTTTAATCAATATTTAAATGATGGTTCAGGTCTTAATTCAATTTGATAAATGTGAATTTTATCTAAGTCAGCACATAAATATGATCATTTAGTGTAATTATAATTTTCCTTTTTTTTTCTAGTCATGAAAAATCACTTGCTTTGGCTGAAATCAAAATTATACCAGATACTACATTATCTTATCCGTATAATAAATTGTGCTTACATCCAAAGAAACGTCATTTGAATCTTGGTGAAATGTAATACATTTTTACAATAGTGAAAAATATGAATTTTACCAAATTAACATTAATATTTTGTATGTATATATTTTGTTAGATGCCGTAAGAGAGACATGCAGCAAACTCAATGGCCATATTGGGTTTATAAACAGTTTGATGTTTATGAATTGGCATCTCGCCTCACCAAAAAAGTTAAAATGTTATGTAAGACTAAACTATCAACTGTTTTTTTAATAATATATCATTTAACAACAAAAACATTTTATTAAACTCTGTGTAAAAAATGATTTAGTGAAAAAAAAATAATAAGTTATTTATTAGATCTTCAAGCACTGTTAAGAAGTGATATTGTGATTGAATGTTGTGTAAATTTAATTAAAATATGCTTATTTTGTATCAATTTATTTCCTTGGTGAAGAATGATTTTGAAAAGTATAGAAGTGTTAATTATTATACTTTTAATTAATTGTAGAGTTCTTACTCCATTTAATTATTTTGCTCGTCTTATTTTTTGTTATGTAAAATAAATAATTGACATAAAATAAATGTAGTTTAATTCAATTTACTTAGCTTTTATTTATAATATTACTTCATTAAAGTGCTTAAAGATTTTATAAAAAGCTGAGTCATTTCTTACTTAGAAATTGTTTATATAAAGTTTGACAAAGTATTTTTATTTTGGTATTACCAATTTTTATAACCAATACCTCATTACATATTTTTAGTTTTGTTTTTTGAGGATTTTATTATAAATGTCTTTGCCACTATGAGGCCATCTTTCTTTATTAGAAGTAGTCATTACATCTAACCCAAAGATTTGATTTTTTTATTAAACTTATGTAATTATTGTGATGTAATGATTCTGGTATTCTGATATTCAAAAACAAGGCGGGTACCACTATTGATAATTAACAGTTCTTTTTTCCTGCCCATTGTACATAACCTTATACTGCATACACAAAATTGAGTTAAAGACTAGTCTGCGCAATAATAAATAAATCCACTACCATAATTACCGGTTTTAATTTAATTTTTCAATAAAAATTTTGCATGTTTTTTTTATAACTTAATTTCTAAAATATGATGTCAATGATCTTCACAAAAGTATTATCTACATAATTTACTGAATATTAATTAATTCAATAAATATTTAGTAATCCTGTCTGATAAAAACATCAATATTTATTATTTACACGGTTTTAATGGCAATTCCTGCTCTGAAAAAATATAGACTATCATGCCACTGCTACTTATTTTTTTTTTACTTAGCAGCTTCTTATACTATATGTTGTGTATTTTGCATTCAATTTTAAAATAATTAATTCATTATACTTAAAAAACAATGAAGATTAAATCATTTTTAATATAAATTACATTAAAACATATTATACTTAATAAAAAAAAAAAAGGTTTGAACCACTAATATTTAAGTATTTATGTATTATATTTTAAAGATAAAGATGTAAACATCTCAGATGATCCAAATTTGTTGTCATTTCAAGTAGCAAGACTTGGTATATTCACTCCAGAGCAAGTAAGCGAATTGCTTGGTATCGAGTCAACAAACCAACGACTTCAATATGAACTAAAGTATTGGAATAAGACTGTAAGAAATAGTTTAGAAAGTAGAGAAAATATAGACTTATGCTATTTTATTCTAGCAATCATTGCAAAAATTCATGTGTGCTCGATGTGGTATTGTAGTTTGCAATATGAGCAGTGTATTTCCAATGTCCCCTGAAGGACCACAAGGTACTTTTTGTAACTCTTGGGGGATAATTCATGACATGATTACAGTAACTGAACTGCACCAGGATTTAAATGCGTTATCAATTGGAATTCCGTCTTCTGAATGCAGCTGGTTCCCTGGGTATAATAAATTCTTTGTTTTAATTATTTATTTTTTTGTTACTCATTACTATAATAATTAATTTTTCTGCAGGTATGTTTGGACAATCATTTTATGCCCAAACTGTCGTAACCATTTGGGCTGGAGATATTTGGTTAATGGTGAATTGTCATTAAAGCCAAAATTATTTTATGGGTTATGTTTAAAAGCCATAACATCTGCTAAAGACTACTTAGTACCTAGAATTACTTTGGTAAGATATGATCAAATCAATGGTGGAGAGACAGTGACGCTTTAAGAAATGTTTTAAATTATTTCATTTTTTACTATGTATTATATTATTTTTATGTAAGTATAAAGTATGTAATAATGCCTTAAATATATATATATGTGTATATATTTTCTGCTATACATACTCTTCAATATTTCACTTATTTATTGAATCTTAAATTATTTTAAATTATTATTTAAATTGTAAGACAGCTAAACAGAACATAATATTATATTATTAGATACTAGCAAAACCGTGTTTTTGAGAAAAAACAGAAATCTAATAAAATTAAAATAATCTGTATAATTATGTTTTTACTTTTTAATTACTTTTGTATGATAGTATTTTCTATAAAAATTAATAAAATATAATTATTGATAATACTGCAGTCGATAGTATGTCAAAGAAATTTAAAATCATGACCAATATGAATAGTTGTGATATTGCTATAATTATATAATATATATTACAATAAACAAGCTATTCCTGTATTTTTGAATTAAAGATGAATGTACCTAATATATAAGTAATTAAAATATTATTGAGTTGTTAATTATTTGAAACAATGTACATGATATAATGTCGATAGCTCGACTAACCCAATAAATATTTTATTAATACTTTGTTATATTATAAATCTTATATCATAATTATTTATAATATTATTAAAATAAAATAATATACTATAATATATACTTTGGTATAATTCATTAAAAACACATGATTGTACAAAGTTTTAAAACAAAAAAGTACAATTGAAAATAATTAAAAGATTTAGTTAAATATTATCAATAATAATAATAATAACCATACTGAGAACGGCTGGGAGCGATTCTAAATTGTCTTGCAATGTTAATAACCGAATCAAATACAAATGTTTTAGCATTTAAATTAAATGCATAATCTATATGACCGAATTTATCATTAGGAATTATTATTGATCGGTAGACTTTTGGTAGAACCGAAATCAGCTTATGTATGGTCTAAAACACAATAAAATCAAACATTAGTTACTTAGTTATAAATAAGATCATAATTTGTTTACAGGTTTGATTATGTTTAGAAAATGTTAGAGTGAATCAGTGCTTTTGTTCTAAATGTATACAAAAATAATAATTTAAAAGTACTATTTTTTTAAATTAATTTCATTTCTTCAACTATCTTAAATATTATAATCAAACTGAGCAATAACAGTTTTCGATCCAGTCAATTGTTACACTCCTTTTGACAAATATCGTATTTCATGGCGAAGCATTCGCATATAGCTGCTCTAACATAATGTTATGGTTTCGATGATATAAAAATATTATCTCTTTAAAGTCTGATATATTTTGAGTCTTACAGAATTACCTATTTATAATTATTCAATGTAGTTAATGAACAAGACTAAAGTTAAATCATCGATAATAATAAGGTAATCTTTTGTTCCTACGCTTACTTTGGACAAAATTAGAAACTATAATAAATTTAAAAAATTGTCATAAATTTCTCTTATTTTTTTGGCTTATTATGAACCGAGGTATTATCTACTGAACAAATAAAAACTGTTTATAGCGTTTTTTTATTTTCCGATGTTTTATACACCTTCAACATCTACCACCTACTTGAAGGTAGGTATATACATTTTACATATACTATTATGTACCGCGATCCGTGGCTTAGGGACTTAAAAACATGCTCACTCTTTTTCAATATTTATTTCATTCAATCCAGTTCAAAAGTAGGAAGTTATTGTTGGTACGTTGTTTTTCGCCAATCTAATAAAGACTGACGATATTAGTCAGACTGTTTTATAACAGCAATGTGTTTTTATGTTCATCAAATTCAACTTTAAACTAGTATTAACCAGAAGGCACTTAAAATAAAATAAATATATAATTCAATTGACGACTTACACCACTGTCTACTACCCTGTCGTTCTTGCTGTGATACAATACAACGGGTGACGTGACTTTTCGCAGATCATATTCCGGCGGCTTGGTTTGTCCATATTTTTCCAAATTCTTATTATGTCCTAAATCGTAATGTTGAAATTTTTCTGTAAATTCGTAATGAAATTTCATTAATACCACGATTATTATACCTACGTATGTAGGGAAATTCATAATGCCACGTCAGAACAATATTATAGGTATAGCTGTTAGTATTAACTTTTAAGTAACTTCATATAATATATTAACGATATATATCTATACTTTTATGATATTTTAAATGGTTTGATTGTTATTTAATTCTCTGTTTTACATGATCAGTAAATTTAAAACATTTGTGTTATGACATCTTCGTGTTAAAAAAAATAGCACCAATTATTAATTATTGCAAAACGTACATTTTGAAATTTCAAAAAATAAAGTTTTTACTTTGACAATTAATATTTTTATTTTATTTTTTTTACATAACATTGATTGGGTTTCAATAAACCTACATCGATTATAAAAAAGGAAATACAGAAAACCGCTTCTCCCGAAAAATCAGTAATTTGACAATAGAACATTTTGAATTTCTATGCTTCAAGTATAAAATTAGTACCCCTCCTTAAAAAAATACACCCTTCTCGCACTGTGCTTTTAATCATGGGGACTTGTTTATACATAATTTTTCATAAAATAATAAAATATATTAATTTTATTAATATTGTAATCGATTTGTTTTATATTTTAATTTAAACGTTACGATTTTGGATTATTATTCTAAGCAAATATTTTATTTACAAAGATTCAGATGAATATTTTTAATTCAAACTTAAATATTATGTATTTACTAGTCTTAGTATCTCATGACTATCTAGATACTTCATGAGTGTTATATATAAACTTTTTATTATTAGGTACAGATTGCAATAGATACATCCCGTGGTAATAATAATAATGATGATTAAGTAAAATAAAGTTGCGGCATCAACTTCTCCAAACTAATTCAATAAATTCGTTCTAATAAAAGAAGGGTTATGCTCGTGACGTTTAGTTTTAAATTTAGTATAATAAGGATATTTTTCGTGAATGTCACATACCATAGGTATCATCGGTTCATGCAATTTTAAAGAGGGATATTTATCAATGTTAGGCAGATATTGTATTTTTCAATAATTTATTACAATAAATAAAATTAATCTTCTAAGTTAAAATTGCTTATAATAAAATCAATATATGATTACTGATATTATATTGGTTTGAACTTAGGGTATATTATATGGACTTAATGGCATACACAATTAAAAGTCCCTAAACACCTCTTTTATTATTAATTGGTCATAACCTCATAATTCATAAATTATGGTAATTTGAATGACATGCAGTTCAATTTATTTTAAAAATACATGAAATTTATTTACCTACTTATATATAATATGTGTCGTTTTAACATGATTAATGATTGGTTTAGTATAATTAATACAGTAAAATAGGATTACTTAGAAGTTATGAGTTGGTTTAATTATAAAATTTTAATCGAAATTACGAAAAAAACAAACACGGAAAGAGAAATGTACCCATAAAAAAAAAAATCTAGAATTCTAGATCTATAGCGAAAAATTAATCAAATTTATTCTATACAGGTCTTTCAACTTTTTATTTTATTTTGTATAAATCAGCTGAATCAATTTATTCTAGTTACAAGTGTCAAAAATGGAGCATTCGAGCTGAATTATTTTGTAAAATCTAATTTTCCACTAGGAAGAGCCATTATCGTAAGCAAAAATGATTGTAATATTTGTAATTATTGATTTAATACAGGTAAATCTCGGACTTAAGTATAAATACATATTTTCACTATGGTACGATAAATTAACTTTGGCAAGTGGTTAATTCGTTTCACAACATTTTTGATAAAATGAGCCATATTTGATTTTACATATTTTTTCATATTTTGTCATTAATATATTAAAATTCCACTAGATAATAAATTAGAATAGGTAGGTAATACATGTTTTAAAATTTTAGCACATATATAAATATTTTGGTTTTAAAAATACATATAAATCATAACCCTAAATACGAGTTATTAAATTCTCTGTATAAAACATCAGTATAGACTATAGAATCTACATATTTTAAACGATGAATCTCAAAACTAGGAAACTTTATTCTAAATATTAAAGTGTTATTTAACTATATAGTGTCATAACATTTCATAATTACGGTGTGAAAATCAAAATATGTGTTTTCTAAGCTGCTGAAGCAACTTACCTACAGTTTAACGGTACGCGTAAAGTATACTTAAGTTAATATTTTTATTTATTATTATCTATACTTACTGGCTTTAATCATTTGAAGCAAATGGTCTATACTATTCAACGATACGCCCGCCCTTGAATAAGTCAATTTAAAATCTAGATCTTTCTGAAATTACATAAAACCATATAGTTATTAATGTGTTTGAAGTGTTAATGACTGGATGTCGCATGGATAATGAAAAATAGTTACTCGTCTTGCTAACTACCTACCTACTGAAATGAATTCTGTCAAACCTAACCAATGTCAAATATAATTAGTACCTATTCAATGTCGGATAATAATGAATTGAGTCCATCCTACTTTTATGTTTTTGAATAGAGTCCAATTTATTATCTAAATAGGTATCTTTTGAGTCCATATAGATAAGATAATAATAATATAAAATAATAATTATTTTTATAGCCTGAAATAAATTAAGCAAAATTATATACCTATATATTTTTATTAGAGACGTCCAAATATTATGATTTTTGTTGACACTATACTAGGAATACAATCAAATACTAATACAAAATTACGAAGAAAAGCAATAAAACCATGTAATGAAACATTGGATTAGCAAAAATGTTTGCGAAGCAAATGAATAAATATAAAAATAAATAAATTTGTAGATTTGACTTTTTAAAATCAGTATCATTTAATTTTTTACCAACAACTATTTAAATTTGTACATTATTAATTATTATAAATATACATTAATACACCCAATAATTATTTCTTTTATTAGTTTTATATTTTTTTAATTAGTTTATTTTTTCTTATTATTATTACTATTTAAAATTTAAAAAAAAAAAACAGTGTGTAAGCAAGCAGCACGCACATTTTTGATTTTTCAGGATGCTTCTCAGGCAAGTTCCACTTGATGTATCCTAAATAACGCTTAATAGCAGAAGGAACTCAACTATTGGATCAAATATTAATCGTGCTTAACTCTAATAACCCAAAAGTAAAAGTGAGACTCAATTCAATATTTACCTAAGACTTAATTTAATATCACCGCCAATGTTGTACCTAAGCAGTTAAAGGTTCACCATTCTCTCCCTTCAACATTTTCTAGGATTATACAGTAAGCATAGGAATTAAAAAAAAACTTATATTAAACATTTAAAAGTTTTACTACATCCCTTCCGGTTTACCCCTCAATTCCCAGAAAATTATCTTTTTTTATTGTTGATAGGTTTATAATTCATCATTATAAAATTGTATTATTATTTATATTTTCTTTAGTAACTCATATACCTATAAGTAAAAACCAGATTTCCGTGCAATCGTGTCTTTTTATGGCGTGTCCTAAATTCTATAAAAATAAGCTACAAATCCAAATCAAGAGATACAGATTAAAGAAAGTTTTATGTTAAACAAAATTGCATGTTTTGGGGTTTTTACACAAAATTGCACATTTTGGGTTTTTTTTTATAAAAATTTGCTAAATAGTACTTTTGTACAATTATTTTTGCTGTATGATCTACGTTATATATAATAGTATAATTATAAATTTATTTTACTGATATAATATGACGTAATTAAGATAATGACTATTGGTAGGTAGGTATTACAATAGTCGATAAATTATCGATATAATATACACAAATACAGTTCGATACCAGTCTATTTGCTGCATCCGTAGTCAACTCGTGTATTAGGTACTTGATATCATTTGATTTAAAATGCCAAAAATTGGATATAACTTAATGGAAAAAAACTTGGAAATGTAAATGATTATAAATATTAATCAAATATTGTAAAGTTAGTTATACAATATATACGCATACCTATTGTCAGTTAATTATTATTTTATTTAAATTAAATTAAATTTTTTTAATTTTATATTTTAGTATAAAAAATGTCAACTAATAAATAATAATATTATTAAAAATAAAATTTGAAGTACCTATAGGCTATAATGAAAATATTGTTTTTGAACAATAGTGCACATTTTAACACTTAAATTTGAACGTTTTTTAAGTATTAGCTGCATAAAAATCCGGTTTTTACTTATAAGTTATAACACGGGCACTGTTTTTATTTAATTTAAAAAACTTCGAACATATTACAATTTGCTTTTACCTAACTCAAGTACATAAACTGATCACCACTATTAGGTATATTGTAATTTGTATTTCAGTTGGCATCTAACATTCTGACATATTTATATAGAGGAAATTAATGCATTTTAAGAAGTAAATCAAAGCTTTTTTAGAACAATTATATATTATAAATAATAATTTGCTGATAAATAGTAGGTAAGATTAACGACTTAGTGGTAGATAGCATATAATAATAAAATGTGTGCATGCAATTTGTACATTTGGTGGTTATTATTACGCGCCGTTAAATAAAAAAAAATTGTTCTACTACGCAGTTTTCATTATCAAAATATTTGATTTTTCACATTTTTGAAATATTTTTCTTTATCTTTTGAAAAATAATGAATAATGATTTTCCTGATTATACCCACGTACATCGACCAAATAATATACAATTAATACACAATTATTTAATTACATAAATTTGACGTATATAGTCTGCGAAAAATTATAACTTAAGAAATAGGTACTTACTGTAGAGTTTCCAGAAGTATCGAATCCGAAAAATTCAGACAGCAAAGTTACACATGCTTTTAAAAAAATTGATTTTTTATTACAGAATAGCGATATAGAATTCATTGACCATTGGTTTCTTGGAAACAATTCGTGATTCTTGGTGCTCCGCGATATTGCCTGCAAAATAATGGCGTGCAATATATAATTATTATATTATAGGTACTATCATTCAAACTTATAAAACGTTAATACAAAAATATTATCATACAACGTATCAACCATAAATTGTCAGTCAAAATAAAATTTTGGCAATAAGAATAGATTTTATAAATTATAAATACAATCAGTCATTGAAAAATGTATTAAATTCTTTGGTTACTATTAATTTAATTCAATTGGATTATAATTTAATAGGTAGGTACTGACGAATTTCATTGTCACTAAAGGTGTCGGTCTACCATAAATTTCATGTATGTCATCAATAATTTAAGCCTTGGGTTGATAAATAGCAAAAAAGATTTAGCCTTTAATTTGACTTTCACTTCCGCATTTAAACAATATGTTATAAAGCTCTGAAGACATTTGTAAGAATATTTCTAATTTTCTGCTTCACTAATCTGGAACTCCATTACCTCAGAGGATATTTATCCCAAAAAAACGAGTTCAAAGATAATTTTTAAGCTTTACATAATTTATTCCGCACAACTACCAATACCAATAATGATGCATAAAACTCAGTCTTATCTCTTTAGTATAAATAGAAGAGTTGAAGTTTACTTGTTATTTTTGAAATATCCAATTGATGAATATATTAATTCTACTCTTCAAAATAAATCATCCTAAAGTTTCTTTTTGTTTCACTAAGTCGTTTGTCCTCTTTTCACATATTATAATAATATTAATACAATCGATAGTTAGTAGTTGCTAAACATGGTCTGTTGAACGTAAATTTGATATTTATGTACTTCTGCAGAGACGACGACAAACTTGTATGAAGTCCTCTTAACACAAGTACAATAATTATGATATAATTAAATAGCATTGGGAACTTAACGGTATTTACTGTAAGTAACTTTAAAAATTAACACGCAAAAGTTTAAACCTTACTTAGACGTATCAAGAAAAAAAAATAAAACTGATTGGAATAATAATATTATGAGTGTTGTGTGTTAAAACTTAAAAGGATCACCATTTTATGCATATAAAATATCACTGTCGAGAAACCGAAAAAATAGACACAAATAAATGACTTACCAAATAAAATTCTCCGAACTGTATGCCTATCCGTAACAGAAGAGATTGGATTTTGGTGAACGCCAAGAATGGGGCCATATGATAGCTGACAATGATTTTATCGTTGTACTCAGGTCTTGCAGATGCGGTGGCAAACAAAATGGCACTGCTCAACGAGTACGTCACTATGTACATTTTATCGTATTCAGTATTGTTGCACACGTAATCCATCATCGCCGGGACATCGTAATATGCCCATTCATCAATACTACGAGAAAAAAATTTATTACGATAATTGTGTAAATAAATATTGTGTAGATACAATGAAATTGTTATGAATGAAAAACATTAATATAATGAAAATATACTTTTCTAGTCCCCCTTGCAATGCTCACGAGTTTTACGTGAAGTGCCAGCATAATAACTCAAAAAAGCATAAGTCGAATTTATTTTTACCCCTCTTGTAATTTCGAATTATTAAATTTAATTTATGTACGCGATACCATGATATATTTATTAAAAACGAGCTTAAGTTAATGGTTAGTTCATAGTTATATGGCAAGTTTAGTCCACTGATCACAATCGCTGCAGAGGTCTATTTTCACCAAAATATTGAGCCAATAATTGCACGAGTCATTCAGTGATTACTGATGACCAATTGTATTACGTCAATACTTATTCAAGTCGTGAAAATGGATCTAAAAGTATCGCATTTTCAAAATTAAAACACAAATGTAAAAAAGTCACGATGTTATAATCGTAAATCATATTATTAAAAAATAGCAACTGTTTAAGTAAAACAAGAAATCACTACAATAAATATAATTAATTACCTGTGTCATAGTGCTGTTTTAAATAAAATACATTAAGTATACGAGTAATTAATTACATATTCTGGCAGTTACTATTTCTATTAGATGCTTTATAATATAAATATATAATATACTGAGTACTGTATAAAGTTTATACAGTGTTCAGTATATTCTATAGGTACGCCTGTTTCCATGTGTACTATAGATAAATAAATAAATTGGTACCTATGTGTAAAATTAAATTTAAATATTCGTTATCATTAAACGCGCACTCATTATTATTGGCATAATTTCAGTAACGAGTCGAGTGAAGGATTGGTATAGGGTGGAGAACAAATCAAACTAATTATTCTCCAGGGTCCACTACTAATGTGGAACGTAAATCGTAATACATACATAATTATGTTATCATTATGTAACCATGCACATTTCGATACCATGTTCGTTAATTATTTGTTCATACTACACTTGTCAGTTAAACATAATACATATATTAATGTACATACATACTGTATCATATACTAAAACCAAACACTCGTGTCATGCAGCATTAAAGTGGTATATACTTAACTATACAAAGTAAAATGTGTTCCACTAATTAATTATAATTTATATAATGGCCGTTTAGCACAGGGATCTCCAAATTTTTTTTTTTATCCAAGGGCCACATAAAATAAAAAAAAAGCTCTTAGCGGGCCAAAATGTGTGAACACATGTAATTTATAAATTACAGCTCATAAATTATGATACAGCCGATACAGCTGATAATTGCTGCACGTGTGCGCGAAAATGACTTTGCAAACTATACATATTTTAGATTATTTGCCGTCGTTTAGCGGGCCATAGTTTGGAGATCCCTGGTTTAGCGTATGCACAAAATTGGAGTACGTAAATTACACTTCCGGGGAAAGGTTAATTATACACTTGTTAAATTGAGGCTAAGAAATTTTTGAAACTTACGTAAATTATGTTCTGACGTACTGAGATTTAAAAAAAATTGATAATAAATAAGAACATAACATTTTTTTTAAATTTAATTTTAAGAAAATAATAGATTCTACTGAACATATTCAGTATCACATTATATATTAGTTTGAAAAAACAGGGAACAAAAAATAGCGAAATGTATAAAAAAAAAAAAAAATATACCTACTTAAATTATATACAGGATAAAATTAAAGAATAGCAAACAAAAAAGTATATTAGTTAAGTATGTGGGAATTATTGTACTGAGAACCAGTTTTCTGACAAAAAATGGATATACCCCAGCATAAGCACATCTATCATTTTTATGGGTACTTACTATATATAATACAGATTACAAACATACCTATCATACCTATTATTATCACATCGTTATATGTATATTTAGTTACCTAATATCTGCAACGTTTTATACAACTGTTAACTAAAGAGAATAATGTAATAGATAATCAAAAAACTTTTTGAACTTTTTAAGCAACATGCTCGAATATTTGTGAGATACATATCTATATGAAAAAGAGTAATAAATCGACCAATTATATAATCAATAACTATTATAACATCATTTCAAATCAAAAATTAATGAACTTGGAAGACGTATTATTTACACGCATTTTGCGATCTATACAAGCAAATATGAAATAGCCAAAAGGTATAGTTATGAATGATATGCGATTCGAATATAATAGTTTCTATTTATTATTGTACTTATTACTTAGGAATTTATTTTCATTTATAATATTACTAGTTATTACTATGTATACATAGTGATATTTTTTTAATTTACCTAAATTTCCAATATTCTGGATCAGATATATTGAGGTGTGTGTGGTTCTTAGAATATAGGTTCCCTCTAAAATTACCCAACCATACGTCGTAACCATTGTTGACTAAAATTGAGGCTGCAAAAACCAAGACAGAATTACATTTTAGTTTTTAAGAAACACTCTAATATTATACTACTTCTAGTGCTACTTACGTAAATCGAGATTTTTATCTCTTAGTAACCATTGGTCGGATGCTCCCATAAATGCATGAAGAAGCAAAAATGGTGGGCCACCGCGGCCTTTGATACGAAATAAATTAATTAAATATCCATCTTCGGTTATTACTGAATGCTTACTATGCGATTGATGACCATGGTTTTCAATGAGTTGACCCTACAAAAAATTATCAACAATAGTATTTACAATATTATTTACAATCATGTTGAGTAGTAGATATTTTAAAATAATGTACTAAGCGTATAGAACTTTAATCGAGTTCGTTGGAACGAATTTATTTATTTTAACCTAAAAATCATTACAAACTGTATCTTTTCAAGTATACTTTAATGTATAAATATGTTTTTACTTGTCTTTTATAGTATACATATTGCTTCACCACAATAACATGGTTTTTTTTTATTTATATACCGGTGAATGGCGATCAGCGAATAGAAATTATAATAATAAGATCGTTAATTATTATGTATAATATAAGATTATACTTATAACAAATGATAAAAATTATCGCATTTAACCAGCTTTAATATTATTGAGCGTATAAAGAAAGTAAATATACATAGTTATGAATTATATATTTTCATGACATAGGTAATACAATAGGTATATGAATAAAATGATTATTTTAAATTTTTAAAAGTTGATACTAACATACAAGTATTAACGTTTATGGAACTTTTTTTCACTTAGTTTGAAGTCATCACAAAATAACATTTATGGACATTGTTATGTTTTTTACTTCTCTGATATATAATAATAGCATACTCGTATATTTTTTATTCACTAATCCGTGGTAGAATATTTTGCTGAGAATTTCAATGTAACCAAAATTTCGAACGAGTTTTTAATATTATAGTTATAATACCTATAAGTATTTAAAGCTTATATGAGTGGTGTGAAGTGTACCCCAAGTCTTTCAAAATATATCTGTTCATTCCTCGCTCAAATAGGTATACATTTTAATACATATCTATAATTTATAAATTGTAATTAATTAAATACTAGTTTAAAATTCGGTTTTCATGCTTTAAAATTTCAGAAAATATTTATTTTCATAATGAAAAGTACTAATAAATTAAAAAGATATGCTGTCATACATAGAAAGAAAAAAATTAAAAAAAATCATGAAAATATTTTCATTTTTTTATTTTTTAAATGTCGTTTTGTAATGACTTGAAAATATGTAAGAAAAAGTATAAATATGTATATATTTAAAACATTAATACTCTTAAAGAAACAAGTATTTATTTTTAAAATAATTTCAACGTATATTGTCACTCACTGTACTCAAGACGCCGAAGGCTGATCCTCGAACAATCAATGAGTAAAACGTCAAAAAACCCGCGACAACCGCACTAGCCGATGGATATGGCACCATCGCACATGCGATGCTAACGCGGGTAACACACGTACTCGCACAGACACACTCTATTATTATATTATAACTTGAATCGTAGTATTATTCAGCTGTGTGATCGTAATCATGTTTTTGGAATAATCTACAGAGTGGATCCGACTGATCCGAGACTTTGACGGTGGGAGCAGTTTAAAATGCATCGTCTACAGCCATAGGTACTATCCCTTTCTTGCACTGTTGAGTGTTTCGAATTCTATAAGATCTTTTCCATTTATTCCCCTTATTTTATTATTATTATTATAATCGTCGAGCATCATATTACTATATCAGATTATAATTTATTATCTACTATCGGTTTTCAGGTTGAAATTATGTAATCAGGTGGGTACCTATATATACTTTCATTAATCAACTGACCATGTACGTAGGTATTATTTATAGTAGGTTTATTTTCAAAGCATTATGTAAATACTAAAATAGTTATTAGTCCATGAGTATACCTATCACTATAAATAATATCATCATTTTTTTAAGCTTTAAAATAATTAATTTGCTTTATGTAAAGCGATGCTAAAATAAGTTGAATTAACTAACATTTTTACAAGTACTTAATCATAAGATGAGTTTTTTTTATTATTAATTTACATGTTATAAATTAAATGTTTTTAAATATTTAATATATTTATATATTAAATATTTCACTAAAAATGAATGGGATAAAAACCTTAATGTTACAATAAAACTTAAATCATGTTCTTCTTATTGTTGAGTAATATATTGAAGAATACGTTACTTTTACACAATTTTTATTATATGATAACGTATTAATATGAGAGTGTATATTAAAATCTTAAATACATTTTTTAAATATGATAATTTGTTTTTTTTTTCATTATATACAACTTAATTCAAAATGTATGTTACAGTCATTTTATTGTATAAATATTAATGCTGAGAAAAATATTTTAAACAAATATTTTTTTTATTTAGACATATCTAAAATGATTAGGTACTTATAGTAATATTTATATTTTGTATAATATTTCAGGGGATAAGAGGATTTAGAGATCAACATATAAAATTCAAATGGGAACCTATACATTTTTTATAATCTTAATATAAAGAGAGTATTCGGAGTATTCAGATACATATAAATTTCATACGAGTAGTTTATGAGTTATAAATATTTAAATTTAAAAAAATTGGAGTAGAGTGATACGGATATTCCGCAAAATTTTGTTCGCTACTTAGTTAATCTAAATTTAAAATACTTATAACTCATAAACTATACTCATTGAAATTCGATGTTTGTGTATTCAAATACTTCGGGAAAATTATTTACATTATGATTGTAAAAAAATATAAAAATTACTAATCATTTTTGATATTTCTAAATAAAAAAACTTTTATACTAATTTTTTTTTCTATTATGGATATATATATATGATAAAATATATGTAACATAAATGTTGAATCACTTTGTATTATATGGAAAACAAAATATTTTTCAATACAATGTATAAATGCAATACATGTACAAAATAAATAATTTATATATTTTGATAACCTACCTTTTACACTAGTAAATATCATAACCATAACGATAAACTAATCACAGTAAATTTTACCATAATAAGTTATACGAAAATAATATTTTTATGACGCTATTATATAGCTTAACCTCAAATGCCTGCGCTGTCTGTAAATGTTTTCAGTATAAATGTATAATCAACTTCAAATATAAACTTCACAAACAAGTTAGTATAATATTAACTTTTGTCAAAAACATAGTATTAATTAATTTTATTTTTAAATTTTAACAATTGCCAATTTGTGTAACTTGACCAAAATAACATTATTGTAAAAATCAAACGAACTATAGAAGAATAGAACACAATATCATAGAAGAACTAAAGATTTTTATTAGGTACATTATAACTATCTTAGACAATCAACTTTTTTTTCTTTTTATCATAACAGATAATATTAACACTATTTTTACACGTAAGCAACAATTGTACAATATACCTAAGTAAAACTTGAAAAGTGCAAATAAATAAGATATTTTTGTGATAGCTTATAACCTTGTAGTAATATGCGGATAGCAACCCAAATATGTTGATATAACAGTTCCCTCCCCTCAAAATGAGTTGTGTATTAACTTACACACAACAATGTGAACCATAAAAGGTAACTAGATAGTAGGTATGTATTTGTATTTACGAGTATTAAATACTTTATCAAAGTGAGAAGTAAAATCTTTATAATGCCCTAGTTGAATGCATTTTAGACCTAGTAGTTCAACCTTGGTAGTTGGCGGTATAAATATTGTTTAGTTATAATCGTTTAAAATTAATTAATTAATCAACATGACACGTTATAATATATAAATAGGTATATAATTACTATTATTTGGTATTTTTGTTATAATATTAAGTGAAATCAATAAATTAAAATTTGTAATGGACACTTTGATCATTACGACTAGAATATTGCTTACATAAAATCTTTTTGATAAAATGTTTCAATAATTTCATATTTTACAGCCTAATATATTTAATTAAATAGTTAATCGAGTTGAATAATTGACAAGATACTTCATCAATAAACATATAGTTTAAAAATGAATAAAATAACAAGAGATGGAAATTGCATAATAGGAGTTCATATTTTAATTCGAAAAATGTTAGATATATTCATAGTTATTACTTATATATAAATTTAAAAAAACTAATGTTATTATATATATATATATAATTTATATAATATTTACCGTAATTCACAACACCACAAACCCTAAAACGTATAGACAAAAAATAAAAATAAACCATAAAAAATTAAGCAATTCACGCATGATTATAGTACCAGCTATTGAACAGTAGTATAAATCTAATATAAGTACCTACCTAACCTAAGTAACTTGTTAGTTTTTTAATCAATTAAATTAATTAAATGATAATAAATAATATAAGTAATAACGGTTTCATTTAACATATCGTCACTTACTAATATTTTGATATAATAATAACATACTATATCATCATACTAATAAATTATGACATTACACCCTACAGGTAATAAATACAGATATACAAATGTTATAAATTATATATAATATTTATCATATCATAGTTTGTAATGGTATGCAATGTAAATGTTTTCTTTTTGGTTTAGTTAGTAACATTTAATTTATACATTACGTACATAGCTATGTTAACATTTCTCAATTAATAATACTAATATTACTGTTTTATCAATTAAAATAAGTATGTAACAGCTATGAGAAATTTGTTTGAAAGCATATAATAATTTGTTCTATGATATTTTGGTACAAACATTATATTAAAGATTCCAAATTACTTAAATGTACAAAAATCAAGTATAAAAACATGCATTTTAAAAACCGATTATAACTGTATTTCATAATTCATACGTGAAACAAATTATATATAAATGCTATACAATCACAGAATTATTCTTATAGCCCGCATAAGATAAATTAATCTTCGAACTTTCACATTCTCACAATTTTTCACTATTTTCACAAATTCACATTGCACAGTAAAATACTGCACATAATCAGCATATATTTTAACGCCAATACCAGCGATATCACAGAAATAGTAATAATTTCATAAGAAATTTTATAAATTTTACTAGTTTAATGTTTCAGTTCTATGAATAATTTAGTGTATTTATATTGTGTTTTATAGTTGCTTATTAATCTATTTCGTCACGGATAATTCTAATTGCAGGCCTTATTCAGTAAAAATTAAAATTCGGTATATTATTATGTACCTATATCTTTTTAAAAACTTGTTAAACTTATGTCAGCGATATGAAAAAAATTAACTAAACCTCATTTTAATAGAAAACCTCTATACTACACTTCAACCTATCTGAACAAAACGAAAAAATTTTGAACTTCTTAAAATCAACTAAATTGATTAACAAAATATAATCTAATTATTATAATTGTAATATGACATATTGTAAATAATTTAGCTAATTTAAACTAATAATTAGTAACTGTAGTCTGTAACTAATAAAATTTGCTGCCAAGTTGTTTTTAAGATCGACAAAAAAAAAAAATAAAAATATTTTTTAATAAAATATTTGACTTTAAATTTACCTTAAAAAACTTGAAACGAGTATCAATTTGTGATAATAAAAGAAAATAATAATAGAATACAAATTATTATCTTGTATAATTAAAGTAATAAACTAATAAAAATAAGTAGCTAACAGGAGGGTCGAGCAAAGCTCCATCAGATTGCTTGTTAGGAAAATGTATGACGAGGTTTCAATCCTCACGATATAATTTAACATGTGACATTGTTATTGCATACAGTGGCGGCGTGAACGGAGTTAATTTGATGCAGCTGCGTCACGGAAGAAATGGTGGGTGGGTGGGTTATTGGTGTGTGTTGAAAGTTGACTTTATAAGCGATCTATAATATATGTACCTATTATATTATTATTATTATTTATATGTACACGCGTATTATATACCTATATATTTAAAACAATTATATAATTCTCCAACTATTTTTAGTGTTTCATATTTTTTTTTTATTTTGGTGTTGATATAAAACGTAGGTAGATGGGTGTTGAAAATTGTTGACTGCGTCATTGAAATAATAAGTTCACGCCGCCACTGATTGCATAGTAGTATCGACTTTGTAAGAGGCGATTGTATTTCATCATGATCGTATAATATATAGGTACATTATATATTTATATAGGTACTACTCCTTATATAAATGGTCACCATAAATTCCGTAGCATTTTAAATTTTTTGTATAAATTGCAGTCTAAACATTTTGTACTTATACGTAAATTACGCACATGGATATTTTTATAAAATCAATATTTTCAATCCTATTTTTCAATCTTGAGCTTGCCAATATAATTAAATTAATATTGGTTTTACTGTTTGTTGTTTGTTTTTAAAAATCAGTAATTAAGAAACTAGAAACAAATTTATTTGATAACTCTCGTACAAAGTTTAAACAAGTACTTTCGTTTTTACAATATTATTGTATTTGTTTTAGTATAGCCTCATATATTATATTTCTTGTTACAA